GGGGGAGAGAGAGAGGAGCGGATACTGTTATCACCGTCATTCTACTATCACAAGCAGGCTTCCCTTATTTTCCTCGTTCATTCTTACTTTTCATCAATCTTTTAGATTGTGAGTAAATCTAAAAAACTGTTAACCAATGTACCTCGCCGACGTTTGCAGAGATATTCATGTCGATTTCGACAGTCATCTACAGCGAACACCTTTCCGTCCCGGTTACTCCAGTCCATGTAGACGCAGTCTTGTATCGGATGATTTTCAGAAATTTTGGGTATGCTGAAATTTGATAAACTACTAGCAAGCAGTATATCGATGCGGTCAACTTGGCCAGTTAATTGCTTCACCAGCATTTTGCTTCGCATTCTATGCTTTTGGTTTCTTTCACAAAGTTGTTTATTGTTTTTTTTTGTAAAAATTATGTATGATTTTTGTTGTGTTGACTTGCACGGGTTTATTTTCTGGATGTGCTTCAAAATATGACGTGCAGTTTACCTAGACATTCGTAACATATTTAGGTCCCCGCAAAAGGAGGCATCTGTAGTAGACAGGTTGAAAAACCTATTTTAATCACAGACGCATCCGAATTAGTTTGTTACTTCTGGCATTTTTGCATCTTAGTTACTACTTTAATTTGTTGTGCAGTTGTACGGAAGTGTGTTGATTTGCAGAAAATTGTTCGTCTGAAATACTAGACGAATCTGCGATAATGCCCATCTCAACGTCCACTGGCCATGTTTATGATGGTAAAATTTTTTTGAACTGGTGTTCATACAGGTTTTTGGCATTGTTTTGTATATTTGCTTGTTTGTAAGTGTACACAAGTACTGGATAATTATAATATATTTTCCAAGTGAAAAAAAAAAATGTTTTTTGAGATCCTCCATCTGTACACATTTTAACAGGTACGGTGAAAGTTATTAGGAAGTAAAACCGAACTAATGAGGTGGATGAGAAAACAGATAAAAACTACAAGACAATTTTTTTTTACTATGAGTCAAACTTTTCTGCACTTGACGGTGCAGCAAAACTTCGGGTAAATGACCTCGCAAATCCACCGATGTTCTCTTTTTCAATAAATTTGCTTCCAAACTACCACCTTCTACCAGAACATAAGCGGAGCGAGGGTGAGCGAAATTGCAAGTTTGTTGCTTGGACAAAGTTTGCAGTTTGGATTTAATGTTGCCAAATTCTTGAATTCTTTTGTTATTTTAATGTGGATAAATGACCGTCATCTACGAACTCTTCTGGCCAAGGTCCGGAGCTTGGATCCACTGCACTGAAGTCGCCTTCGCTGTTGAAGTCCGTATAGCCAATCCAAGGGAACGTTTTGTTTTTTGCATATGTTGCTGAAATATCAAGTTCTGCAGTTGTCTTATTACAATTGAATGGGGTATTCGGTTTTGAAGTTGACAAGACAATGTGGATTGTAACTGCATCATATAAAGAAGTTGAAAAGATACCTGTTATAAAAGAATATTCGTTGGCAGAAGATAGTGTTAGCAGATTGCTCCGTTCCAGAGTACATTCTTTTTGTGCTTCCACCCACGTCAATCCATCCACTGGCTTTTTCAGGACGTAGCAGTAGCCAGCTGAATTTGAAATCCAACTGGGCGGACATTCTGATGTTTCTGCAAAATCAGCAGTACAAGAACGGGAACAGTGCACGAAGAGTTTAAGATAATTTTATAATTTAGAAGTGCAGCGCGTTCCAGAAACAAAATTCCGGGCTTAGTTCAGAGCATAATGGGAAATAGGGTGGTGTGAGGATCAGAATTAAGACATCCTCGACTCCCGGACTGTGACCTCACGCTCAAATCCGAATGAAATTAAAATCTGTGAAAGCAGCTTGTTATGAATCTTAGTGTTTTCTAGGCAGAATTTTATTACTTTGCATGCGATGGAAGGGGGCATAAAATTATCACGGAAAAGTAGAAAAATTTTGGCACGTTCAATTGCATTTGCTTAATGCGAGCGCACATTAGCAGATTGCAAAAGCAGTGAATTTTGCCGGCCACTGTGGATACGGCACTAAAAGAAAACGTGCCTACACGAGGAATTCTTAGCAGAAATGCGTCTTACCCAGCAAGCTTTAATAAAAGCTAAACATAAAATCTCGTAATACCAAATTCGACGAACGACATATTGATGCCTCTGCCTTGGAATGTTTCGTCGCTCTGGAAGTAGACGTACAGTGAGTCGGTAGTGCTCATTATAGCGTTCGGATGATTGTCGCCGCACCAACGTACTATTTCCGGAGATTTTGAGCTATTGCCTGTAACAGTGTAGGGTATTTGACGGCAGCATTGAAAATGACCAAGCATTTTTACAACTAGTTGCACAGTGAATAAAAGTACACGCAGAAGTCAACTGTTTGAACTGTGGTTCAAAAAGATGAATCCCTACAAGAGGGAACTTTGGGCATTGCTGCCAAACTAAACTATAGCGAAAGCACAAGTGATTTTTGTTTTTCCTCGCAGGTCAGTTTGAGGAAAATCTGTGCGTAACGATTATTTAAGAAGTCAGAATAAAGTTTTAATTTCTGGGCGCGCCATCGAAAAATTCTTTGCCAAATTCCATTGAAACTGTCCCTCTCCAGCGGCTCGAAGAAGTAGATGGAGGTGATTCCGGGGAATATTTTATGTTTACTAAATATGAAAATATACCGTCGTGGACGGAACAGTAATCGTCACATCGGGAAAACAAAGCATCGTCAATGCTAGAATCATGTATAGTTAAGACAATTCTCTTCCTGACAGTGGTACCCGTCAGTATCCAGCTACATCGCATATTACTTGCATATTGACCGATTTCGTAACCTTTCGTATGAAAATACATCGGCTGAGCATGAGGCTTTGCTTCCAAAATAATCGGCTGAGCTGCAATTTTTCAAAGAAGTAATTTCCGTGTTGTTTTTTTACTTTTTTGTGTTTCTGCTTAAGTCAAAAATTTAGGGGTTTCGAAAACTCCAAAGAAATGCTGAAGGAATAGGCGAACCATGCAAGAAGCATAGCTTCAATGACGACTGGGAGTACTCGGTGGAAGCGCTTAAAGTGAGCCACAGACCTGCCTGAGAAAATTTACACCACCCGTCAGTTTTTTATGCGTTTTTGCTTATATGCAAATGCAAAAACGCATATTGTAACGACCCCGGTGTGTGTGTATGTGTGTGTGTGTATGTGTGTATGCGTCTGTCCGGGTATTTCAATTCGGCACCCAAGCAAGCTCCGGCGTCAAAATTTTGCTGGTGGATTCTCCAGCCAAGTGCCACCCAAGGATCTCAGTATCAACCCCCACGCAAGTCTGGGCCCCGCGTAAGTGAGGGTGAAATTTTCGGCGGGAAAATTTCTAACTCGGGAACCAGAAAAGCTAGAAAGCTGAAATTTTGAGGTTATGTCTCCTGTCTCCATGGAACTCAAAGATTTCAAATTCAGCCCTCAGGCATGCGTGGTTCCCGCGTATGGCTCCGTAAGGGTTCCTGGCACGAAAAACGCTAACTTGGGAGGCAGGAAAGCTGGGTAAATGAAATTTTCAGAGAATATTCCCGGCACAAGTGTAACTTGAAATAACCAAATTCAGCCCCTAATTGTGTGTGGCACTCATGTACGGCCCGTGAAAGTTTCTGGCGTGAAAATGGTTAACTCAGGAACCAGGAAAGCTGGGAAGCTGAAATTTTCAGGGAATGTTTCCAGCTCAAGTACAATTTAAATCAATCAAATTCAGCCTCTCAGTGAAAGTGGTTTTCACGTACGGCCTTGTGAAATTTTTTGGCGCGGAAATGGATAACTCGGGAACCAGGAAAGCCCGGAGGCTGCAATTTTCAGAAAATGTTCCTAACCCATGTATAGCTTAAAATTACAAAACTCAGTCCCCCGGGCATACGTGGTTGCCACATACGGCCTCGTGAATATTTTTGGCAGGAAAGTTGCTAGCTCAAGAAGAAAATTTGGGAAGCTGAAACTTCAGCGAAATGTCCTCTGTCCAAATACCGCGTGGACAATTAACTTCTGAGGCTTCGAGGAACAGTATGACACATTTCTAGCTACTGGGATTCCGAGCGATCTCATTGCAGCGCGAAATATTGCAAAAACGCATGACGGGTCCGCCCCGTGCGCGTCGCCAATGATTTAACAACTAGCCAGCCCACGATTTATGTGGCATAGGAATATCCTTATTTGGAGCTGAACTTGCATGGTAGTGTGAGCAACGGCGCAAAGCTTCGAGCACATTACCAAGCAAAAAGTTCACTTGTAACATTAACTTGCTGCTTAGCACTGTTTAACCACCGTTCTTATGACTGCCGTTTTCGGACGTAATTCGGTTTTATTATCGGTCTCGGACAAAACCATGCATGATTGTAAAAATGTGTTTGCTGCTTAAATATGATCGAAGCAAAGCTTTAACAAGTTCACAAGCTTGCTGATGCGGTAATGTGTTTTTAGGCAGAACTTGAAACATTCAGATCGTTAACACCAGGAATGGTTCTTGTGTAGTAATTTAACATGCAGACTTATGTTAGCAGTGCTTCGGCTTTTTCCTCAGTGCAGGAGGAAAGGACGTCAGCTGAAGCGAAGGTGTTACATTATGGGGCCGCCTGAACCTCCGACGTGCATGACTATCAATTTTGCATGAAGCCCAATCGTTTATAGGAAAAATGCAGATTTAAAGGAAGTCGGAAGACGATTACTGAATCCGCAAAATGCACTTGCTTTTGAATTTACTATAAAACTGAGTATTTGTCATGTCGGCATGGGGGAATTTTCCTCCAAGCTGTATTTAAAGCACACATGAAAACAGAATATCTTTGCCAAGTTATATCCTCGCAACTTCTTCATTAAGCAAAATAGTCACTTCGCTGCGCATATCTTTGAGGTGCCCTAAATCTTGGCGCAAGTACGAATCGAAATTTAATTTAGGTATACGATTTTCCATATGGGCGATTCTAACAAAATTCAAGCTACTTCTTCTGACCAGTTCCCGAGCCGGAACAGCGCCAACTGCAAAAATTGACGTGATCCTACGCACGGTACAAGAGCACGCGATAGCTGAATTTAAAATCTTTCGGTCACACATGCACTGGGATATCCCTGCAAAGTTTCAGCATTCTATCTTGTCTGGCTCATGAAATCGTCCCCGCTAAAAAAATATGCATATTTTTTGTAGGTCCGTAAGCGAGATCAAGGCGCGTGTGAGCGATGATTTTAAAACGGAAGGGTGACGGGTGGGGTGGAAATATGATCCCAAAATTTCAGCCTCTGCTTGCGGAGTTGAAAGTAGATGATAAAGTTCGCTCGCTTCCGAACAAACGTACGTAAACACACACACAAACACACGCACATACATAAACACACAGGTGAACTTATATGCGTTTTGCTCACTTTAGCAGCGCTACAGCGCTGCACAGCAAAAACACTTAAAAATTACCGGAACAATCCTGTGCACGTACCATCACTGGATCGCACAGTTTCTGGATGGCAGCGTTTAAAGCGAGAAGTATGGTAAAATAGTGCTGGCCAAAGTGCCAAAACCGTAGCGGTAATTTCGAGTAATGAAAGAGAAGTAATAGCGCAAAATCATTCATATATTTTGCTAATAGAATAATAAAAAAGCTCCAGAAGCACGATGTATACATGTCAGTAGCATAGTGCATCTGTCGGGAAAAAAGCAAGAAGCATCAGCAGCTTCACAAGAATCAGAAGTTTTGAATAAAACATAGCTTGGCCTGATATGAAAGTGGTGTTGTTTTTGATATCGCTAAAACGGATTTCTGATTGCAATAGTGCAATAGCGATTACAGCGATTATATATTGCCATTTCACTCCGCTCAGCGCAAACAAGCTTCACTTTGCAAAACTAGGCTTTATAGGCAGTGAAGTTTTAAGTGTCACAAGCTGTCCCCTGGACCAATTAGCTTTGAAAATTGGCTATTTTGGTACCTCAATTAATTTTAATCTAGCTTTTTCAATTCCGTTCGTTTTGGAAGAAATGAACGGGGTAGGGTGGGCGAAGCCGACTCATAGACAATATGTATAAATAAATAGACAAGCAAATGAATAAGTAAATAAGTGAACGTATATATATACGCTCACTTTTATACATATATATATATGTTTGATGAAAGAACAGTAGAGTCTGGATTGTAGAAATTAGACAGACAAAAAAAAAGCATATTAGTAACATTAAGTAATCATAAATGCGAAATTGAGAAGAGCTGATTGCCTTTCTAAAATGCTTCATACGAGAAACAACAAACAAGGGTTGCCGAAGCAGCAGTAGTTAATAAGACCAAGCAGAATATAAAATTTAAAAATTATCGATGGACTCCGACACTGTGCTTTCAAACAGACTGATAGATAGCTTGCTTAATAGACCAAAAACAATAAAAACTTATTCGCTTGATGTCAAATACACGTGAATCATTTTTTGTGCCCTATCGTTAATGAGTTCCGAGCAATTTTAAAGTTAAAATTACACGAACCAAATGCGTTTTCGAGTCTTCGAAAAATTCTTTATAAGTAAATATTTTTAGATGTGTTGCAGAAAGTCAGCTGCAAGCCTAATAAAGAGCTACTGCATAATTCGGGACTGGAAAAACAATAAACTTATTTTGATAAAGCCTATTTTCTTATCTCACCTCATTACAAAATTCGGGATGCAGTCGAAAATAAATGGCGAACTGACCTTTGTATCTTATCTTTTCAGGAAAAAAAAAACTTGCGCAGATTTGTAGCTATAGTCTATGATTAGCCTACCCAGCGCGAACCCAAATAAATCTATCATTGTCGTCACTGCCCCTAAGACCTTATAATCCTTTTAAAATTCGCGTCCTCTTGCAACCATAGCAACCATCCATGAACCGTTTATGGGAGCACTCGGGAGGCAATTACTACACATCAAAAGAGAATCGACCTGCTTGCCCTAATTCATCCTATCTTTCTCCTTCAAAACTTTAAACCAGCCTGGCTCTCTTTCATTCTTACACTTCAAATCCTGCAACTTCGAAATTTCTCCGAATTTTCGCTTCTGAAAGCAAATTATAGCTGCTGTTTATCAGTTTCTATATTTACACACACATAAACATTCATGCACATGCTAGCAAGCTGTCTGTCGTCCGATCTCTCAAACTTAAGATACTATCGGTATCCTAAAATTTCGACAACCTTCTCTGTTCCCTGTTAAGGAAGCTTGTGCCCTATGCCCCATTTCTATGCATAATATTTCAGGCCATTATCAATATCCCAATGTTCCGGACATCCAACTTACCTCACATCCAGAAATGTTTTGCATTATACTGCAGTATATTTCCGTAAGCAGTGACGACGTCGCTTTTGCATAACAATTGCAGCTTCACTCAGTCGTTATGCCCAATTCTGCTTACATAGTTCTTGTTGTTTTCAAATTTATATGCGTACGCTATAAACATAGCTATGAGGAAATCAATTCGAAGCACCTTTTCTGGCTTAGAAATTCTTAGCGATTTTTTTCATTTTTTTTTTTTTTTTTTGCTGTCACTAAGCGGTTAAAAATGGCCAAAACTTGTTTTTGAAGGTAGAAGCACTTTCGGAGAATTTTGCAGCGGAAGTGCTAAGGCAAAATTTGTGCTTTTTAATTATGGCACAAACATACATATATGGCTATGAGGAAAAGGGATCAGATGAAGTTTCATGTGCAAGATCTGTATGGATGCAGTCTGTGTTTCATCCCCAAGAAACCGAGCGTGACACGCGGGTAGGAGTGAAAACCATCAGTGCAGCCTAACACCCGCCATCTACATGACGAGCATGCGTCAAACTTTACAAAACTACAGTAAAGAGACGAAAAGCGAGAAGAGAAAAAATGCCAGCTATATTCGTAATGAGGGAAGAAATGATCGGAAAATAAAGAAATGATCGCATAAACAAACATTCTATTCACTGCCATATCAAGTCAGATCAATAAACCTCTTTATTTTCTCGTATAAAGAAAGGCAAACGATGATGTTGCAGTTTTAATCTACTTTATCAGGCTAATTTCAAAAGTGCGCTCTGTTCCAAGTCCTATGGGGAGCATTTTCTGACAGCAGGAATATTTTCTGGCAAGTATTAGAAAATTTCGTGAGCAGGCTGTGGAGATGTCTGCGCGATGGAATTCGACAGGCTGGATATCAGCTAGCCGCAGATGGTGCTGTTGCTAAACGAAGACAAGTTGAGTTTGAGAATTGCTCACAGATGCTGTTAGTTTTTGAAGCATTCGATGTTTAACAACACGATTCAGGGTGGTTTATCTCTTCTTGTAAACTCGCATCACTTTTACAGCAAACAATAATTTCTCAGAAAACGAAAATAAAACAGCAGAGCAAATGCCACAGCCCAGCAAAACAAATAGTCCGGAAACCTTCTCCATGCCCAATGCTTTGTGCATTTCCACGGGCTCCTCGCAGTCTCTGCAATCACAGTATGCAGTAAAAGTATCCAGGAGAGAATAATAATGCTACAAATGCTGAAAATTCCAAATTGATCGACGTTTATTACTTCTACGACTTAATGTTTAATCACGGCATTTGTTGAACTGACCTATTCGTCTTAGAATTCATTCCAATCCACTTGCAATTGCTGTTTCTGCTTATCTCTACATTCTTTTTTACAAACAACCCAAGTTGCAACGTACCAGGCTTGCTGGTGCGGTCATGCATTTTTGTGCTAAACTTGCACGTCGCTAACAGCAGGAATGATCCCTGCGTTTTAGTTTAACACTTGGGTTCATATTAGCTGTGTTTTGGCCTCTTTCTATATGCGGAAGCAAAGGGCGGTTCTATAATGTTCCATGCGGCTCTATAATGCACCACCTTCATCCAAACCAACGCCCTTTCTCTCTTTCTCCTGCATTTCGAAAGATGCCAAAGCACAGCCATATGAGCCCAAGTGTTAGGCCACAGCGCAAGGATAATTCCTGCTATTAGCATTCTGCGAGTTTAATGCAAAAACGCATGATCGCACTGGCAAGCCTGGTGCGTTCCAGCCTGGGTTTGCATGAAGCTCGGTTGTTCTCGGGTGACCGCTCGCTCTCTGAAAGAGTGTAAATTTGAAGGAAGTAGGAAGGGGATTATGAAACCTGCAAAATGCACTCGCTTTTGAGTTTGCGGTAAAATATGCTATTTGTCATGTCTATCTGCAGGGGATTTCACCCCAAGCTAAGTTAAGACCACAGGTAAATATCCTTGCAAAGTTACAGCTTCGCAGCTTGTCTGGTGAGCGAAATAGCCACTTTGCCACAAATATTTTTGAAGTGACCTAAGTCGTGATACAAGTGCGAATCGAAACTCAGTTTGGGTATATGGCTTTCCGTGTGAACGACAAACATTTTGACAAAATTTCAACTACTTTTTTCCAGCTAGTTTTTGAATTGGCACGGTGCCAAGTGCGAATTTGACGCGCATGGTATGTACGGTAGAAGTGCGCGACAGCTAAGTAAGAAATCCTTAGCTCATACATACACTGAGAATCTTTGCAAAGTTTTAGCTTTCTATCTTGTCTGGTTTCCAAAATCGTTTCTTTTCAAAGAAATGTGCATATTTTTTTCGGGAGCTCGCACGCGAGATCTAGGCGCATATGAGTGATGACTTTAAAACGGGAGGGTGACACATAGGTTAAGAATATGTCCCCAAATTTCAGCCTCCCAACTTTCCTGATAGGTGAGCTAAAAGTGGGAGACAAAGTTTAGTCTCTTCCAAACATACACATACACGGACGACCTATCGACGATATGCGTTTTTGCTTACTGTACCAGCAAAAATGAGTAAAAACTGGACGGAACGCAATTTGCGTAATGGACCAAAATTAAAAATGTTGCTACATGAATTGAATTTTGACGTGCTGTTCACCATTTTATGTCAGTACTGGAAGACCGTTTCACTGTTATAATTCGTTTCAATGTTAGAACTGTTATCAATGCATCAACAATCCAAACTGCCTCCAACCGTTTTTCACGTATTTGTCGTACGAGGAAAACGCTATCAGCTTTGCTGGTGGGTGAATGTTGTCATTAACACAGTACACCCGGTTGTCGTGGATGAGCATTTCGTGTGGTGAATACAGCGCGAGCAAGGTTTTGAATTCGGCTGCTAAATTAGAAAAAAAGTGCTACTTTTTTAAATAGTAACTAACTCAACGTGCGATGCTTTTTTCCACCACTTATTTTTCAGCAGCATTATTATTCCTTTTTCGTGGAAGTCCAATATCTGCCTCGTGAGCTTTTCTCTCCATTTAGAGCCTGCAACCTTTTTTTTTGAATTTCCAAGCTTTTAAATCATTAAGCCAATACTTTGCAGTCACTGTTATTACCATACATATGCGAGATAAAGAATATGGGATTGCTAGACTGAGGAGTTGGCAGAAATCCAACGCACCATATAACGCCGAATAATAAGGGAGCGATAATTTGCAGCCTAACTCATTGAAACGGCATGAAAGGTATAGCCGAAGTAATGTTCTTTGGAAAGAGATCCCGGGAAATCCCATGCTCAGGATGAAAAATAACGGATAAACGAAATGGTTTATTGCATGATACTTGTGTGCAATTGAATAACCCGCTAGAATAGACGCTCTGATAATCCAGTGTGTAGAGTTTTAAAAATGTCCAAATTGTTTATTACTCTGCAAATCACTCGCAAAACCAACAGCTTTCAATTTATTTCGGAAAGGATAAATTATGTAACTGTGCAGAAATTAATCCCAGAAATATAAATAGTAACTTTAGATGAAGGAAGAGTAACTGACCTTTCGGTAATGCTATGCTGTAACCATTGGAGCCAAGAACAACGGTACCGACTCGGGATAGATTGCAGTTTTGCGCCAGCTGATATTCCAGCGAAGACGATTCCATCAGGAAAACGTACCTTAACAAACGGTGAGTTTGAAAAAAAGGCAATTTGTAGAATAATATTAAACGAGTCAGTAAGATGGAATGACTCAACTGAACTTAATAAGAATGCGGCCAACTTAGAGCCTAGCAGACTGGAATTTACTATCACTTTACACTCTCATGCTCATGAATTGTTTGGACTACAGTTTTCTCAAAAAGAGGACCACCGATTTTCAAGGTATTTTGAGTTTGGAGAACTTTTATTACCTTTCGTAAATCAAAAAAAAAAACTTTTTTCTGATGTTAGCCGCCACTTCACTGATAAAATTTCAGCAAATTTTAATAATGGTAAATACAAAAAAAAGAATCTTTCATGTGCTTTCTGGAAAACTGGCCAGCTGCCTGCTATCCTGCATTTCACGATTGCCCTGCTGGTACATATAACAATATATTACTGATCGTAATTTTCTGATGACCGGTTGACTTCCGTGTTCCATCCGTCTCTTTTCCTATCAGTTAGAATTTTTACATTCTCCGTTCCCCTTGAATATTGGCAGGTACTGGAAAAATGCCCGAGTAATTAATCACTGACATTAATTAGGGAAGGAGGGGGAGGGGGGAGGAAGGGCAACTACTTGTTTTTTGTTGTTCGTAATAAATTGCCGAATTCATGTTATTCCACTACAGCAAGGAAATGCTTTTTGGCCAGAAGTGCCAGGTTTATGGCACCTTTGTTTTGTTTGTTTTTTGACTGATTTACCAATGCACGGATTCTGTAAAACCAGAATGCGATATGCACAGGTTGGCAAAACACACACAAACACGAATAAACACGTTCACATGCTTAGGAACCGTTCACTGAGAACACGTTGGACGCCTTCGCTGTTCGTAGTCACAAACACAGATGGAGTTGTATTAGCCATGCGCTCCCATATTCGTCGAAATGTGTCCAAACGCGAGTACTTGAAAAACTGCATTGTTGAACCACCCAAAATGGATCCAAAAGCGTACTCTGTTTGATTTCCAAGTTCTTCAAATGACTGTAATTATGCACAGTAACAGTGAGGAGCTGTCAATAAAGTATCTCCTATGCATGGGGATGATTTATAATTCCATTAAATGTTCCATATATCTGATAAATTTGAGTCTAATTTCTTCCAAGGCATGTGCCAAAAGCAATAGATGCAGTGATGAAGAGAAAAAAAGATTTATCACAAAATTTGAATTATGTACGGTACAAGAAGTAATATGAATATAATTGTATAATAGGGGTAATGTTTAATTGGACTTAAAAGCCGTTCGTGCAGGAAAAATAAGTGATTGCATGGACCAGGGTGCGGCGAACTTATATGCTACAGTACTCAACTCGTAAATCAGCCAGCACAGAACTGTGCCCAAAAATTTAAGCAAACACGAGCTGTTTAATTAATTTATTAGTCTTACCATGTAATAATCTGGAACAGCGCTGCTGTCTGAACTTTTCATCTCTCGAGACGGCATCCTAACACTTTTCCAACGAATGAATGAGGAAATGCTGTCCTTTCCTGTCTTTAAAATCCATGACTGCCTCTTGTCTCAAGAGCCCCCTACACATCTATGGGAGATGTGTGGGCCGAATTCTGTCGAGTGTGATAAAAGCATTTTGCATATTTACTCTCATCACTTAGACACCTTTTATGAGTTCTTGCATGTTTATGCAAATGCAAAAACGCATAATATTTTTACAATTTGATCAATTCCGTACATTAAATGGCATTGTTTTCCTGTCGACGGTTAGTACAGCAGCGAAGTTTGCTGTATATTGCGCTATAAGCACAAGTGTAAATAACCACCAAACTGCGCTAATCAAACGGTTTGACGCAGACTGGCAGTTATATCCAGACCCAGCTCGTAGCAATATGCATATCAAGTACCAGAAGCTGTTCTGAAAATGTGAATTTTGAAGGGGTTATTTGTCGAAATCCGGAAAAGATTGTATGGGGGCAACAGAAAGGAGTATTACTGAAAAATTTTTCAAGACCTTTCAGAAATTTTTTTTAAACAAAAATAAAAAAAACATCATTTCGCATCAAATTATCAATGTTTTTTGAGTACTTTTGGCACCAGACAAGCATGAAAATGCAACATTAAATAAAATACTAGAACAAAACGTTACTGGACAGTGGGGAGTGCCGATGCTGTCATGCATGTGATCAAGGGTTGGACTTCATCACCGGGCCAGTAAACACTCCTTCTATGATTAGTTCATTCGTTTCAACGGTAAATTGGTACTTTCAAATGCCAGTCAAATCCACCAACAGCTCTATTCTATGCAGCTCTTGAAAGAAGGAGCCATCAGATCTCATGCCAGCGGGTAGTTGCTGTTGGCAGTTGTTACTTTCGGAATGCTACCGCTCTCATACAGCACAGACGGGTAATTGGATCTTCACTTCTGGCCACGACAAAACGCAACAAAACTATTACGTGTCTCTATGCCTACTTGACCTGACCATCGCTAGAAGCTAGACATATAACAGAATAAAAAAGAAGTGAAAACGGACTATCACGTTGAACTCAGCGATTGATTCGGACGGGCTCAGTATAGAAACAACGATCACGGATAGTGCTGTTCCAATGGCCGCAAATGCGGAATAAAGCCAGATTGAGCCACTGAGCGGCCACAAAAATGATGTTAACGAGGAAGACGCACGGCGATCTGGTTGTCGCATTAGCATCGATATACCCAGCTGTAGGAATGGATCCGTGAAATCAACAACCTCAAGCCGACCAGCAGTGACAGTGATCGGCGCCACGGCCATATCTACTTCCTGGAATGCAGTTATTTATAATGTACTTTCAGCAAAGCCGGACCGGCGTTGCCAATTTGCCTCCTGCGAGAAAACAATCAAATACGGAGATTAACGAAATTCTGTCACTATGAGGCTTACCTGCGCACGGCACGACTGCTTACTTGCTGGCCACTCAAGTCTTGAATACCTATAGCTCTGTCTCACTTTTATACTCTATCCCTCAAATTCGGCTAAGGCGACATTTTGAGAATGGCTATACGGAATGTCCTTAATAATAGTAACGTAAAATTGTCTATATCCTTTTGACCCGGGCCAAGGCTCCAACTCCACGAGGCTGTAGAATTGTTCAGCACTACAATTCAGATCAGACATTTTCTGACAGCAAGAAGAAAAAAATTCCTTGCTCCTCCTCGTGGTACTATGCTCCATCTAACCTCTGGGCTACAAGAGTGCAGCGCATGTATTCTCCTCCCTTCGTCCTTCAAAAGCATTTAATTCAGCTGCTGAGAGCTAAGCTGCATTGAAGAGCAAATAAACAGTTTCAGAAATCCCAAATTCAGTCCTAAAACGCAGTGAGAAGTTCAAATAAACAGACTAAGCAGTGAAGTGAAAACTATCTGTGCATTGTTGGTTTCGGTTTTTCTTAGAGGGAGGACCATTTCAAACGACTGGGATACTAGGATTCTGCAGGAAGTCAAATTTTTTTTTGGTAAAGAAGGGGAGAAGGAGCAAGGTTTCGGCGGGGCTGGAAGGCAGGGAGAGAAGGAAGAATGCACTCACTTATACTGATAGAACGTACAGAGTATACATAGTTAGAATCATGCCTAAAGATCTGTTTTTCCCAGTAACAAGTACACAATCAGAAACATTCTGCCCACCTCTGAAAGCGAATGGTACCAAGAGCCAGTGTACATGCAAATCGCTTTAAAATAATAAAGAAACACATACGCCTCGCAGTATTTCACCGATAATCCCATTCCAGTGCTTTGTGCCATTGATCGGCTCTCCATACTTCGCGTCACTAACAATTTGAATTTTGTAATCAAAATCGAGCCTCTCAGCAAGTCGATCTAGCAAATCCACACAGAATCCTTCATACTCAGTGTCTCCATTTGGACGTGATCTCCTCATCACATATGGTTTCTCTTCAACCGATGAAACAATTAAAAGCCGCTGCTGAAATTCCATTTGTTGTTTGGGACTTAATTGTCAGCCGCTATTAGAAAATGATAATGGATCAGTGATGAGGGGGCCATCACCGGTTCAAAACTTTTCATCAAAAGTATTTAGAACTTAAAAATTATTAAAAAGCTCTGCGAATCAAGCCACCAGCAAATCAAAAGACACGACACACTTTAAATTTTTTGCCGCAATCTTTACTGCCTAAAAAATACCAGTGGCAATGTAAAATCTTGCAATGCATTCTTAAATTCGTTTCGGCTTTTTTTCAGGAATGAGAATCCTGCAGTTCAGCTAACTGGACAAAGTTAGATGTGCGCCCGGTAATTGTGTAGCTCCACAGTTTAAAAAAAAAAAAAAAATTCAGTCGTCACTGCTTAGAACATCTACAGTGGAAATTTTCAAGCCGAACCGTCTTTCGCTCCCGCAGCACTCTCTCGTGCGTGTTTGGTAAATCCTTGTCAAGCATGTAAAATTCAGTGTTTTCATGCGACGGACCCGAGGACCAAAATCCAGTCTGAAATTGACTGATAACTGTTAACAGAAGGAAACAATGAACTCTTTTTCTTCAAAGACATACTTTCTGCTTTAAAAAATAAAAGCGTAGAGTTCTAACAATTTTGTTTACTCTCACTGCGATATCCCAAGAAGACTGATCCAAGAATCTAACTGAGATGCAACAAAGATGGCAGCGTGGCAGTGCAATGAAACTTCCAAGAGCTAAGACTGTGGACCACTATTACAAAGTGCACACCTGTGAGAGGCGAAATGGTAGAAAATGTGGAAAATTAAAGGCGTACACTAGAAAATCTTATGCGTTTTTGAGAGCATTTTCTTGTGAGCTATCTAGGCACCTCAGTACCACATATAGGAGTACATCTGGATGGTATCTCCAAACAATAAACAAAATATCCGAGCTGCAACTTCCTTAGACCCTTGATAGGCTGTGGAACATAATTTCAGGCCAACAGCACTGCCCTGTAGCATAATTGGGTTTCTAACTTTACCCATTCTGGAATTAAGTAATCTAAGTGTTATATGAAGATAGGGGTCGGTCAATAAAAATCAATCTTCGAAGGCTTAGAGGATTGATCAAGTAATTTAGCTCATATCACATGGTGAACTGAATCCTTACGCCACACGCCTCCGTGCCCCATACAGAAACCCAACCCTCTGTCACATAATGATTTATGGGTTTTAGAAATCACGTAAGGAACAACCGCGTCACTATGATGCAACACCCCTAGCCCCCTGTTCAACCTTTGGACATCCTACCCCGTTAAAGCTTTTCAATCTTAGTGAACTCTGACCACTGGAGTTTAAAAACACCCCTTCTCATCTCCGGGATCCAGTGCCGCAACCTTGTTCTGGGGATTACGTAAGGACCAGTGTTGTGGGTTAAGTCCCAAGAGTCACGGTAAAGGTGAGGGAATATAGGTGCTAACTGGAAGAAAGCTTCGAGTCCCCAGAGCCACGCCGCCCTTTTATATTGCTCTCCTTACTTTGTGTTATATAACCCTAATTATTGTATACAGTTATAAGTATGTATATAACTAGGTATTTCCAGACAGATACACACACAGGGTACACCACTAATCTAATTCATTAACTTTCAGGGTCAAGATACCTCTCCCTCCTTGCCCCCGGCCCCACACTCCTCCTCCCGCTTCCAAACCTTTCCTCCGTGACCCAAATCGTTCTTTCCTTGTTCCCAAGCCCAGACTTGTTGCTCTCCTCCCCGACATTATTTCACCCAAAGGCAACTACTAAGACCTTTCTCCATTTGGCTGAGTTGGGAGGCCAACTGTTTTGAATGTGGTGTACTCCATCGAATGGCCAAATAGGATCCGGAATGATGGAAACGAAAGGCTGGGGTTGTGGGTTAAGTCTCAAGAGTCATGGCAAAGGTGAGGGAATACGGGTACTAGCTGAAAGGAAGCTAAAATCTTTCTCGAAGGTAGGAATTAGAAACAGAGGCAGAAGTTATACGGGGGACCGAGGAGATGTGGGAAAGTTATACAGACTTGCGATGCCCAGCAAAAAACTAGATCCAGTGCGACAACTAACGTCGCACCTGGACGAAAAAACAACGAAGGGATTCTATTCGTTTGAGGGCTTCAATTTCCATGGTTTTTCGCTGTTCTTTTTGTTGGTTCTAGCTGTATTTCGCAGCAATAAACCACACCAAAAATAAGTGGAGTAGAGACATTTGGAGAAATATCACTTGCGAAGGCAAATCTTACTGGGCCTATCGGTTTCTACAAGCACTGCCGGGACACATGTTAGAGCCCTGTGGAAATGCCTCATTACTCCACCATTGTTACTAATTAATGGTGTGTTAAAATCCTCTTTTTATTAAGAATACGATAGTGAATGGGATACTCAGTGAACGGTGGCGAGACAAACAAAGACCACTGTCTTTCGTTCCACATTCTTTTTATGCTAATTTTGTTAATTACTAAACATCGGCTCGGCTCGGCCTGATGCCATCCAAGATTTGCTAAAAATTTTTTCTACCAATGGCAGGTGTCCTTACTCCAATGTGGTGCAAAGGATGTTGGGACTGGTACGGCAATTTGCCCTTTGTGGTGAATATGATAAAAAGTGAGTGGGATACTCAGTGAACGGTGGCGAGACAAACAAAGGACGCTGTTTCTTATCTTTATGCGTCTTTTGCAGCTATGCAATGCAAAAAACACATATTGACGAGAGGTTGTCTGTGTGTGTGTGTCTGTGT